TTACAATTTCATGATGAACTCAGGATATTTTTCTTCTAATTATCAATTAGAGATTCAGACTATGTACAAAAAATTATATAATTAATTTTTAATTAATTTTTAATGTACATAGTCTGAATCTCTAATTGATAATTAGAAAAAAAATATCCTGAGTTCATCATGAAATTGTAACAAATTTTACATCTTTGTTCTTTGGATTAGAGTTTTTAGAAATTTTAATATTACACATAAAAGAAAAATTTTTAAATATTTATACAGTAAGACCTTGCTTAACATGGGGATGCGTTCCTAGACAACAAAGCGCTAAGTGAAGTAAATAGGGATAGGGGAACAACGACCGAAAATTTTTAAAAAATTTACTTTAATTTTAAGTTATTTTTATATTAATTTGTATAATAATATATGTTAAATAACACATAAACACATGCACACAGAAATGTATAATAATATATTAATAGTTCATTTTTTGTGATGAAGGACCTGACTTTTCTGAAATTCTTGTTTTTATTGAAATAAAGTCATGAAATTTCATTTGTCTCTTTTTTTCTTTCCTTAAGCAAATGTTGGTAGCAGAAGATCGCATCCAAAACGCCTTGTTTTGTTTTTGCACTCTTTTCAAAAGCTAGATCATTTGCTACAATTTAATCAATGATTTTGGTTATCATTACCAAACTTTTACTAAGGAAATCTGTAGAGAAATTTTTTGGGTTCTTCATTTTCAGAATCTCTATTTTCCAGTTCTACATGGATTCCTGGTTCTGCCAGTTCTTGAAGTTCGTCATTGATAAGATTCTCACCAGAAACTTGCGGTAACTCCTCAATATCCTGTTTGTCTACATCTCCTAGTCCTGCTGTATCGATTAGGTTGAGTTTGATCAACCTAATGATATAGCGATAGGATCTTCTCATTGAGAATTCTTGGATATCTTCAGCCATAACTTCTTCCACACTTCGTCCATGCATTTATCAGTTAATTCTTGCCAAGCAAAGCCTATATTGCCTATGGCATCTGTGATGTTATATTTTTTCCAAAATTGCACAAAACAAACATAGATTTAAAAAAAGTACACCTTTTGGACACCTTTTTCTGATTGGTTCATGTTCGTAAATAATCGTATTATGTACGAATCCCTAAAATGCCGCAATAATTTCAATCAGCATAAATTTTGAGCTTTTTTAAAAGCTTCGAGCAGACTGCGTTATATCAAATCAACATTAAGCAGGGTCTTACTGTACATCAATTACTATATTTAAGAAAATTAGATCTTATAATGCCATTTGTAAAACTACTGATTTAATATCATCCGTTCAGAGATATTGATTAGCAGATCCATTTTTCTTTTCAAAATTTCTCTCACATATTTACCATTTCTAAAAAAAACAATAAATTTTTCTCTACTTAAATTAAAACGTCTCATAAATGGAAAAGGAAGAAAGTGACTAAAAATAAATCATAAAATAACAGAGCAAATTTTGAAACTCAGATTTAGAATGAAATATGTCCTATACACTGGATCACAAATTGTTTTCAACAACCAACTAAAAACTATTACTTAAGAAAAATTTTAAAGCATACAGAATTTGTATATCTATTGGTATGCACGAAAACTTTTTATAAAATATTCAGTAAATGGCTTTAATTCCAATATAAGTTAATATTTCAATATTGAAAAATAGGTCAAAAGGAACTATGAATATTCAAAAGAATTTTTCTACTGATAAAAGAAAAAGCCCTAAATATGTAAAGCAATTAGACTGAAAAATAAACAAAAATTGTATTATTATTTTTAATATCTTATCAAAATCATCATTTTTTTCTGAACAGATAACAACTAATTTATTCTTTATAGGTCAATAAATTGAATAAGCCATAAAATTACACATCCATAATTTGCATACATTATTAAATATATATATGTTACAGTCAAAACCCGTTTTTAGTTAGAACGCGTTTTAACTAGTTGAAACTAGTTTTTACTGAATGTGTTTGTTAAAACCCGTTTTGTCAAGTTGAAACTAGTTTATACTGAATGTCTTTGTTAAAACCCGTTTTGTCTAGTTAAAACTAGTTTTAACTCAAATTCATTTTTGACTAGCAGTAAATTCTAGTTTTAAGTAGACAGAACGGGTTTTAAGAAAGACATCCAGTATAAACTAGTTTTAACTAGTTAAAACGCATCCTAACTAAAAACTGGTTTGACTGCAACGCATAGAGTGATTCGGGGTAAGATGGTAAGCGGGGGAAGATGCCTAATTTTTGATATTTTCAAACGGTGACATCACATATTGTCATGTATTTGGATGATGAATCGTTGGGCGAATATTAAGTGCGGAAACTTGTAGTTGGCTACCGTTACTTCATTTTCTACATCCGAGAAGAATAAAAGCTAGATAAGAACGAAGTTTTTGTTGTGAAATATTTCTAGAATAATTTTAAACTAAAAGTTAAAATGGAATTTATTAAAAATTGCTAAAAACAATTAATGTGTGATGTAGTTAAGGTTCTAAAGTTTCCATTGTCAGCTACCGCCGATCCCGATCGGACATGCTGGAGCACGTGACTCTACTAGGCATCTTACCCCAACAAATGGAAAATATGCCACATTTTTCTTGGGGTAACGTGCCTATTTTTTGTTAATTGATTTCCAATATGCCTATTTTTAATAAACTTTTGTTTTCTCGTTTTATTGCAGGATATGCATAGAAATTATATAAGGACTTCTCAAAAAAGTTTTTGGACTGAAAAAAGCTTTCAGCTAGCTATAGAACACGTTAGAACGGGCGGAAACTTAACAATACTTATACTGTGCTGTTATACTTACTATGAAGTACTTTGTACTACATATGCAATAAATTAAATTTGGTTAAGAAATTCAAAAATTAATTTTAAGCAATTATATTTGTTATCTTACCCTAATGGCATTTGGCATCTCACCCAGATACTTGGGGTGAGATGCTTAAAATGCCAGACAGTGAAAAAGTCGTCATTGCAAACACAGTATAGAATTTTTTAAAATAAACTCCAAACTTTTATTTGAAAGACATACTCCAGAATATGATATTTTCATTAGAGGGCTCCTAAACTCAAATTAGCGCTGTAATTTTCTTCATAAGCAAAATGTTAGGCATCTTCCGCCGAATCACTATACATAACTTTATTTCCCCCAAACATATTTATGTAGCTAAAATTAGTTTTAACTAATGTTAAAAGTTAAAACTAGTTTTATCTAAAGTCAAAACATGTACAGCAGTAAATTAACTAGACAAAACCGATTTTGTCTAGTTAAAACTAGAATTTACTGTAGTCAAAAATGAATTTGAGTTAAAACTAGTTTTAACTAGACAAAACGGGTTTTAACAAAGACATTCAGTATAAACTAGTTTCAACTAGTTAAAACGCGTTCTAACTAAAAACGGGTTTTGACTGTAACATATATATTCTTTAAATCAGTGTTTTTCAACCTTCTTGAATACGCAACCCCTTTACAAGTTAAAAAATTCTGGCAACCCCCCTAGGTCCATATTAAAACTATATCAGTGATTTTAAAAACTATGTATTTAATTTTCTTTCTGTTGAGACAAATTATTGTTGATTAAAATGAAAATTTCAGAAGAATCGACAATAATTGAACACACATAAAGTATGAAACTTTCTTTAATTATAACATTAGGCACAGTGAACTGTTGACTTTCTTTTCTTTTGTTTTTTTTTTGTTTTTTGGATCTCAAATTTCAGCTTCTACTTTTCTACTTTTTATTTCTTTTTGAAGATCAGCTCAACACTTTTTCCACTATCATTTTCTGGGGTGGGCCGTAATTCTCGCTGAAATTGTAGTTTTTTTAATGTAGTGTAGGACCTACAAATACTTGTCTTATTCTTCTACCCATGACCCCTGTGTAAGGCTTCATGACCTCCAGGGGGGGTCGTGACCCACAGGTTGAAAAACACTGCTTTAAATAACTAAATTCTTACTTGAGTGATTAGTAACAATTAGGTTATATAAATAAAATTTAAAATTTTTTAAATCTATTTAGGGGAATATAAAGTTATTTCTTTAAGCATCTTTGATCTTTATACACTGGAAATAGTAATGCAAATAATAAAAAGAATTTAAGGAATAAAATTCATACTCTGTAATATCTTTGTAACCAATGAATGATTTTCAATAAAACTTTCAGAGCAAATTGTGTATGTATAAACTGCTCAGTTGCATGGAATTACTTCCAAATATTTGTGAAAATCAATGGCACTGTTATGGTACTCTTGTAATTACGCCATTCCAGGTTAAATCAAGTACTGAAGAAATCGGCAAAACAGACACCACAAATTATTCCATTAATATCTCTCTTCAACTATCTTCATTATATAGGAAACATTGTTTTCTTTTAGAACAATATCTAAAATTATTGATGACAACTATACTGTTTATGTAATACATGTGCAAAATGTTTGTGTTTTGTGGCTGAAATTACCCCTCCCTCCCTTATATTATGTCAACACAATTTTAACATAGTTTTAATCTATGGATTGTGCAGAACACATGCTATTCAATTTACAGGTTATTTAAATAATTTTACTGAAATACTATTTGCATCATGCAGCATCATACAATATACTGTAAGATATAACATATTCTATCAATGAAAGTAAAGTTTATATACATGAATGATGGACTGTATTTATGGATTAAAAGAGGATCAGATGAACATGCTTTTAAAATACTTCAACAAAAGAAATGAATAAAATAAACAAAAATAAAGAAATGAATATAGAAGTGTTCTCAATATACATTGCAGATAAGTTTCTAAAAAATACAACTTGTGACAAAATGAAAACAAAAAATGTATATTAGACATTGATTTCCTATTAAACTAATGCATTAGTTTGCAGAGACGTTCTAGGTAAACTAAAAATCTGAATTTATATGTAAATAATAAATAAATAGTAGACCCTATTCATATGCACACAAATACAATTTACTATTTTTATTTCATTATATATTCTCTAAAATTATGATTTATAGTACTATATAGTATATTGTAATGGTTACACAGTTTTCTAAAATGTGTTTTATTAAATATTTAATATGTACTTATTACTGTTCTTACATTTTAATACATGTATATATTTTATACACATATTACACATAGTATGCAATTATAAATTTAAATACAGAAAGGAAAAAAAATTTGTGAAAGAAATATACATGAAACTAAGTTCCCAGAACAACCCTAGAGTTTGTGGGGCTCAGGGTAAAAGTCATTATTATTGAAAACATCTAATTGGAAACAAGGTCTATAACCTTAACTTTCTATTTCATGTGGCATTTAGGATTGCAAAAATCTATTCTAATAAAGCGATAAAGCAAAATTTTTTCCAGAAGCTGTTAACAATAATAATTAAGTATTAACAAAATACTGTATAGATATATGTTTATTACTTCAAAATTTACAATGAATACAATTAATTGATAAAATTTACTTTGTGACTTTTGTTCTGCAAAATCATTAATTATATCATCATAATTTAAAGCTTTGCACAGTTTATGTTCAATAGACAGTAATGTCAAATTAGATAATCTTTCTTGATTCATAGAAGTTTTTAGGTTGTTTTTCTTTAAGTATTAATTAACTTTGAAAAATTGTACTCTGCAGTAGTAGTAGCAATTTGAAGAGTTAAGCATCTACTTACTAAACTTTGTGTACAACCAGTGAAATAATTCCACTCTGTTTCACATTTCACTCAATTGCATTATGAAGATGAATAATCTGTTACTGTTGAAATTAAATATTGCAAGGTGATAGACAGGATATTGTGTTTCCACTCTCAATATGCAGATGTAGGTGGGAAGTGGATGAGTGGTCTGAGATTTATATTGTTTTTAACTGATGGTGACAAGATATGAGGGATTTAGAGAAAAGGTATAGCAAATGGAGTTTAGAAAGAAATAAAGCTGTCCTTTTAAACCAGTGTGTTTTGGCCATTTTTTAGTCCAAAGTTGTGCATAGTTATCTGGCATTCACAACTTCAAGAGTTTCCTATAATTTCATTTATTGTAGGAAACTTTACTAACTTTCCTACAATAAATGAAAATTACCAATATTTTTTAAAATCTACATAATAAAAATTTATATACAGCACACATTACATAGTGTATATTATTGAATTTATAATCTATAAATGGTATTTTGTATGTGTTTTCAGATTAATTAACTATTCATTTATCCAGTCTGGTCCCTTAAAAACTAATTACTTGGGAATCTATCAAATATCAAGTTTATCAACTCTATTTAATGACATGTATACTATATGATGTTTACTAACCTATCCCATATTGAAAATTTTCTCCATTGCGTGGTCACCATGTTGAATTTTTGTTGATGTTAAGCGTTGAATTTTCGTCGATTTAAATAATAATCGTGGCTACTGTATCATTAAAAATTATTTTTTTATTTTGTACAAACAAAATAAATGTAGTGAAAAAATATAAAAACAAAAAACATTATATTTCGAAAGTTCATTTTAATATAAAAATTATGACGCATAGCGACATCTAGTATAAAAAATGTTCCGATGCAGAGACGAATATATTCATGGTCACTAGGGCAGGTCAAATGAGGTCAACATGAAAATATTCAGGAACAACACAGGACAGGTTAATGAAATGTATAGAGAATGTACATTTAAATGCATGTATCAATGTTTGATATATGAATTTAAAAATGGTATCTAAAATGAAATAATTTGCTACAATTATTACAAAGAATCAAATAGTATTCAACTAATTTTAGTTGAAAAATAAAGCAAATAAAAACTTGTTTGCTAAGAAAATATACATTTTGGAGCAGTTAGACATACAATATCAAGGCAATAAGAGAACCCTATAACATAATTAAAATTGTAAGTAAGTGCAAAATACATACTCTTGGTGTTCTGGCATCAGGTGGTCGAGCAAATATTTCCTCTTCTGAAGGCTGAGAACCAGGAGGGACCGTATCAGACGGTCGTGTACCATTATATGTATGAAATCTATATTTCAATAAAAATTATAATTTAGTAATCATAATAAATATACAAATATTCAAATTTTAGGTTAGATATAGATATTCAAATATTCCAATTTTTTATAAAAATACACATCTGTTACTCACTTATTGTTTGGATTAAAAACCATTGCTAACAGATCAAGAAGAGGAAGACAATCCTGATTCAGCTTGATAACACAAAGTTCAACTAAGCGTTCACAATTTTTCATGATGCAACGCTATAAAAATAATTCATTCAACTTAAAGTAAAAACTATAATGCATATATTATTTAATATATATTAGTTTAATAAACTTTTTAATTATTCAAAATCAACTATACTTAAATAAAAATTTTCCTGTATACTAAGTAGAAAAAACTTCAAAAATTCCTCATACACAAATCATTCACTTTCTCTAAAAATGAATGAATTAAAATTATGAAGTAAACATAAAAATAAATGTATATTAAAGTCATTTTCAAAGTAATTTCTAGTAAACTGTTTTAATGAAACAGAAGTTTGGATTAAAATTTTAAACTGAATTGTTTATTTTCTATTCTATTTAAAACATTCTAATAATTATATAAATTAATATAAATTTTGCAATTTTTAAATTATATATAATTTGTATCTATAGAATATCTACAGGTATCCCACAGTAGATACATTCCAAAAAAGTGCAGTGTTACCCAAATCCATTATAAACAAAACAAGGGACTAATGCACAACATCAAGTTAGGTTCCAGAAGTTAGCAAAAGTATACTATTCTTTTTCATTACTAAGAGAAATATGTTTATTAAAGCAATTAATACTCTATTTCCAATCAATAATTAACTAACAATTACAATTAAATTACAGTAATACCTCGACTTACGCGAACCTGGAGTTACGCAATTTTCAAATCGCATCGATTCGTCTTTTGTTTGAGCGCCACGCAACTCTTGATTACTCACACTATTGTTCAGCTTACATGTTCAGACGTGTCACGTGGAATTGACACATAGCTACAATTTATTTTGTGTTATTTATTTCTGTGTTTGTTATATCTATGGAGACTTGAGAGACTATGTGGTGATTTCTTGTAACTGTAAACGAATCAAAAGACGAGATAAGATTAACGAGAACATTTATTAGCCTACATACATCCGACTTGGATTTTACACAAATTGCAAAATTATACCCCAACTTACGTGAATTCGACTTACGCGGTTATCGCTCGGTCCCACCTATCGCATAAGTTTGGGGTATTACTGTACTGTTAATATTAATTTTAGGACATTTTCTTTTTACAAAGTATCTCATCATCTAAGCTTTTTTGTTGATCTTAATCACAAATATCAGCATCTTCATTTTTTTTATTTTTATCAAATTTTCTATAAATGACAAAATAAAAATATGTTATTAATCAATAACTCATCCTAGAAGAACACATTTGTTCAGTCGAGTACTGAGATACCACCATGTTTCGTTTGTCATTTTTACAAATGATTACTTAACACCCAAGGTTAAAAAAGGTTAATAACACTTACATAAAAATGTTTAAGTAAACATTACTAAATACAAAAATTAATGTATAAAAACAAAACACAGTGACAGTCTTAAGGGCTAAAGTTTCAAAGCAACATCAATGACACCTGGTTGATAGGAAAACTAGAAGGGAGAAAAAAAATTCTATCAGTTTTCATTAAAGTAACCTGATGAAAGACTGACAACAAATTAAAAATTTCAATATTCTAAAATTTGTGGGCAAATTTCAGACAACACACAGGCTTACTTGAATAAAAAACATCGAATAATGGAGTTTACACTTAAAAATTGTGAAATTTTGTATGGAGGATTTCCAAAATTTTCAAACCTTGTTAGACTGACACCATATTGTAGAAGTACAGTGTTGTTATTCTAAATATAGTTTTAAGAACATAAAAGCCATATTTTTGCTTGTTTATTTGTTAGCTGTATATAAACAAAATTATATCATCATAGTCTTAGTGAGTCTTTTCAATTCTACTTTGATAAAACAATAAGAACTGTATGTATGTCAACTATGTGAGCAATAACACTTTCTAAATAACAGGCTCGTTAGATCATTACTTTCAACTGGATAATAGAATGTCAAGTGGTCACTATGAAAAGATTTTTTTTAAAATTTGTTATAGAAGTGACATAATGTGGCTATTTTTTTAAAGTTTAAATTTAATGAAGTAAGTTTAAAATACGTCATTTGCGAAAATATTTAAAAATGCAACTTAAGGGAAATTCCCTTATCAAGCATGAATGTCACATGGTCACTGATGTCACTGCAACCTAAGTGCAATCACAGATCCAAAATCCATAAAACATTTATTCTATAGCTAATATTTCTGCAAAATAAGTAGCCTATACAGAACATAAAACAAATATAACCAAACTTTCATTTGGATTGGACAAAAATTGCAGGAGTTTTAAGGAATTCACACACATTACTGTAGCTTTTATAGTAGTAATACAAATTAAGAACAAAAGTTCACTTCTTGGAATTCCCTTCTATATTCAGCACATTGATAAAGTTGTCATAATTCATATTTGTTTTGTATTCTTTATATTATACAACATTTTGGCAATATATTCTTTTTAAATTGTGTTGATGCACCAAAAAAGTAAAACAATCATTCTGCTGATTTAAAACCAAACTGGACTTAGGCCAGAAACACATGTATAAAATATAATGTAAATATGGGCCAAAGCAGAAAATGAAAAATACTTTCTGAAACTGAACAGAAAATCAAGTATATGAAGTTTTTATTTTTTAAATGCTAAACAATTTTCTGCTGAAGTATAGCCAATAGTAGAAGTTTCATGTTGGTTATGTAGTTATGTAATCTTTTATTAATTCAAGAATTAATGGCTACTCTTTGCATGGGAAGAAACTAAACAATGTACAAATCTAAATTTTACGCAAGATTTAAAATATGCATTCACAATTATTTACTAAAGTTTACTAGTTTTAAATTACTTCCCTTTGTTGTTTGATATTATGCACTTGATTGTATTAACAACAGTTTGTAAATAGAGCTCTCATAAAGTCTAAATTACATATTTTGTCTCTCTCAAATAATTTACAAACTCATTAAATAATATCATAATTAACATTAAGTTATTTCCTATCAAAATCCTATCATCATACAATCAAAATATGAATATTTTTGCAAGAGAATGATTAGATTAACTTATTTATAAACAGTAATAGGTAAGGTTTATCTCTGAACAAGATGAGGGACCCCAGAATTGTCAACCTTTATTCTTATTTTCTTTTTCTATACTAGAAAAAGAAAAAAAGTATATATATTAAACAGAAAAAAAACTAACTTAGATCAGTGTAATTTGAAAAACATTAAAATAGGTGTGTTATGCTCTGTTTTTTTGGATACTTTATATTGGTATTGATATTATATTAATATTAGACAACAAAGAAAATAATGTTGTAAACCTGCTGAAGAGGGACCTTCAGTTCCGAAACACAAAGAGTACAGATGAAAATAAAGATATTTTGTTTTGACTTTTAACTAAGATCTCCTTTTTTTTTTGCTAATCAGAAACTACAGCAGTATTATATGAGTAGTTCACTTGCCAAATCAAGTAACTCCACAAAACAAAAGTATAAAAATTGATAATATAAATTATTTTTTAAAATTCCTTTTAAACTTTAAATTTAAATAAACATTGTAAATGTATTTTTATATATCATTACATTAAAGCTATGCTTTTAATATAATAATATATAAAATTAGTTACAGGAAAAATGTAAAAATAATAATTATATTAAGGATTTACAAATGGAGTTATCAATTTGCCCTGTGAACAGTTCATATGTTCTATTAATAAACATGGTCCTAGCAGACAGTATATACACAGAAAAGTAAAACATTTAGTGTTTTACTTTTTACCTCTGTCTTTAGAGAGGGGTAAAAAGAATTTACAAATTCCAATTACCTTATTAACAAATAAGCATGTATAATACCTCCAACTAAAAATTTTATATAAACTGTGTTTGTAATATTTAGTAGACAACAATGAAAATGTTGTAATGATACTGGTACATTTTAAATTAAATTTTTAAATTTACTGTATAAAAACAGAGCAATGAAAATAAACCAGATAATGAACCTACTGTAATATACTGTTAAAAATAAGTTCATAAGAACTTCTGCAATAAAAATCACTGAACTGTACAACCACAATAGAACACACAACACCACTGAAGCAAATAAAAACAGACACTGGGAATAAAATCACTCTGTACTTCTCACTTTTACTAGCATGACTTATAAACTTTTTACAAATGCACTTTGAAGAAATTCATAAAATGGATATTGTGATTCAATTTAGATATTGTAATTGTGCTAAAGAAATTTAGATATTACAAAAAAAAAAAATTATTTGTAGTATCAATATGAATAGAGAGAATTTAAATGCTAAAATAAGATTGTATATTACATTAAAATCAATATTATGTATATATATAGTTAAAAACAAGCAACCTTTAGTAATTAATTCATTGCTTGCATAATTTTTGTGTGTGACAGATAATTTATTAAAACATAAACACAAAAAAATGCATTAATTTCATGTTATTTTCTCCTTTTTCTATTTTATGTCCAGTGTAGATAGTATTGTTCATTTTGTATAAAATAGGAAACCTATAAACTCTAAACAAATTATTATTAACATGTTTACTTTATTAACAGAATAATAAAAATTCATATTGAGTTAAAAACATCTATTTCTTAATTTATTTTGTAATAAATATATTTTCATATATAATGAGAACTATGTTGTTGTAATTCCTTACTATAAGATTCTGAAAAATGAGCTTTTAGAAATTATCCCAGATAACAACTGAAATACATCAAAAGCACATAAGGTCATTGTATGCCAGAATATTGAATTTTTATTTTCATATTTTACACACATTAATTAACTCTTACATATTTTAGTTCAAATTACAATTTGAAATTACCACATGTAAAGGTTAAACACTCATTCACAAGTACTGATACAATATATAATACACTCATAACAACCTTTAAATGACCAATAAAATATTTAATTGTAAAAAACAAACGTTTTCAACATTTGTTTCGACGTAGGGCTAGGGCTAAGCTGAGATTCCTTATGATGTGCAAGAATAAAGGGTGTTCCCTACAGTATGTCCATTCAACAAATACGTCTACCGGTTGGATGTGAATCATTGGTACCCA